CTCTCTTCTCATATCCTTGGGCTCTTGCATGCTCCAGTCCTTCTTCCAAGATGTTCCCCGAGCGTTGGAGAGTGACAGGCATTCCTTTTACAGCTGGGCATTCAACAGTCATTTATTCTCACTACTTTGATCAGTTATGAGTCTTTGCAGTCACTTGTCGCCTGTTTTTATTGTAGAAAATTTTTCTTTCTCCTTCGGTTGTGACAGATTGCTTTGCTGTGTGTAGTAGTCTGGCCTGGCAGTTGTCTTTCAGAGCTTGAAACACAACTTCTAAGTCACTGGCTTTTAAAGTTTCTGTTGAAAAATCTGTTGTTATTTTGATGAGAGTACCTTTATACGTGACTTGGTTTTTCTTGCAGCTTTCAATGTACTTTATTCTGCATAACTTAGTGTTTTAACTACAAGATGAGTGGGGAGGTTATTCTCTGGTCTTATCTATTGGGTGTTCTAAATGCCTAAACAATCCTTTTCCTTAGATTTGGAAAAATTGCTGCTATGATTTTATTGAATATATTCTGTATGCCTTTGGCATGAAATTCTGCTCCTTCAATAACTGTAATACATAGATTTGACTTTTTCATAGTGTCCAACAGATCTTGAATGTTCTGTTTATACTTTCTTATGTATTTTTTGTTGTGATCTGTGTTAAGGTTCAGATAGCCCAACCCCCTCACCAACAGGGCCTCATGGACCTCACAAGCAAGCCCTCTGAGAAAAGGGAACCTAGTTGATAAGCACCCTGATCTTTGAAGTCAAGAGAAGCAGACTTTTCTCCACTGTTTGGCCAACACAACAGGCTTCCCCTTTGATCTCTGAAGAGGGCAGGTTTTAACAGTCTCACTCTCCCACCTCCCTGCCCCCCCTACCACCCAACTTTAAAAAAATATATATATATATTTTCCCGCCTTCTGCAGGAAATGGAAGCCTCCCCCTATAAAAAGACCCCAGCTCATGACCTGGGGCAGACATTTTCCCTGCCGGGAATGGAATCTGTCCCATGTGTTCCTTTGCTAATAAACTCTATTCCGATGGAGTTTTATCTGTGTCCTGGTGCTTTCTCCTGATCAACCAGATTCATCCATTGGCTACTTTATCTATCAGTCTGACTGCTCCAATTCCTCTAAGCTGTCTGTCTTTAAGCCCTGATATTATGCATTCTCCTAGTGAGGCTTTCCATGTAGCTTTTTATTTGACCTACTGACCTTTTTGTTTGCAGTGGTTCAGTTTGATATATTTTAGTATTTCTCTTCCTAGTGAATTACACTCTAATATCCTGTATTGACTTCTTGTTTCATTCAGCTCTTTATGATCTCTTGGAATTCTTTCAGTAGTTTTTAATTTGTCCTCTTTGGTGATTTTGAATATACTTAGAATCATTTCTTTTCATTTCTTTGTTTGGGATACCACCTATTTCACTTTGATTTGTGGCCGGGGCTGTGGGATTAGTAATTTTCGGAAGAGTTATGTGGCCTTGGGTTTTCTTGTTTCATGTTTTTGCACTGGGACTTGCACAGTGCTAGGGTTATGTCACTGGTTAGATTTTGTTTTTTTGTTTTTTTGTTTTTTTGTTTTTTTTGTGTGTGTGTAATGTCCAAGGGGGACTGGGTTGTGATAGGGTTGAAGTGTCATTTTTCTCTGCTAGACTTAATCCCTAACACTCACCTGACAGAAGAATTCTGCCTGCAAAATCAGTCACTATCAAAGTGTAGGGCCATTATGAATATACAGTTAACAGCCAAATAAAAAGCAATCACCCCTTAAATGCCAGGTTTTTTTTTTTTCTTTTTCTTTTTCTTTTTTTTTTTTTTTTTTTTTTTTTTTTAGACAGGGTCTCCTTGTAACCCCAGCTGTCCTGGAACTTACTATGTAGACTAGGCTGGCCTTGAACTTACAGAGATCAGCCTGCCTCTGCTCCCGAGTGCTGGGATTAACGGCGTGCACCACCACGCCTGGCTAAAGGAACACTGATAGTACTGTGTGTACTACTATAGCAATTACTGTGGGTATGAGTGAAAAGGAAAAACAGTAAGTGTGTGTGACGCTGTGCCTGGGGGAGGCAAGAACAGATGTCGTGTTGACTCACCTTGATAGGGAACCAACAAGAGACCAAAGTGAGGATACCACCAAAGTCCAACTTGGTGAACCAGTGAGTTTTATTGGGGTTACTTACAGGAATATGGGTGATGAGTTCCTTATAGGAGCAGAAATTATTTAAAGACAGTAATTCAGAGCAACTGAGCTACCTGGAAAGGACAGTCTCCAAACTTAAGTATACTGAGCTCCAGGTCCAGCTTTCATGTGGGCTTTTGGTGAGGCATCTGCCTTTTTTTAGGGGGGGGCGGTCTTTTTGATACACTGCCTCCCTATAGCCCCAGCCGGCCTCCAACTCACTATGTAGACTAGGCTGGCCTTGACCTCACAGAGATTTGCCTCCCTAGTGCTGGGACTAAAGGTGTGCGCCTCCGCAGGCATTGCATGCATTTGGTGCGCCTATATAGATGCTGGCAAAACACTCATGTACATAAAATTTTTTTAAATTTTAATTATATTTATTTATTAATTTCTCTGCGTGTGTGTGTGTGTGTGTGTGTGTGTGTGTGTGTGTATGTGTGTGTGTGTGTGTATCCTGGGGATTGGACTCAGGTCATCAGGCTTGATGGTAAGTGCCTTTACCTGCTGAGACATCTCTGCCTCCCCGCCACCTCCCCTGTTATTTTTTGAGACAGTCTTTCACTGAACTTGGAGTTCATTGATTCATCTAGGCTGGATCCAGTAAATTATGGATCCTCCTGTCTCCTCCTCCCCATTTCTGTAATTACAGACACATGTCATCATGCATGGCTTTCACATGAGTTTTAGGGATCTGAACTCAGGTCCTCATGCTTATACAGCTTGCACTTTACCCACTGAGCCAGCTCCCCAGCCCCTCTTTCAAACTTAAAAAAATTGTGTGTGTGTGTGTGTGTGTGTGTGTGTGTGTGTGTATGTTATGTACGTGTGCTATGGCATACATGTGGGGGCAAAGGACAACTTTAAAGAGTTGGCTCTCCTTCCACCTTGCTGAGGCAGGGTTTTCTTGTTGTTTTTGTCATGCTGCATACTCCAGACTGGCTGGCCTCCATGCTTTCCTCCCATTTCTGCCTCCCGTCTTGCTGTAGGAGTGCTGGGATTGTAGGTGGGTACCACCATGCCAGCTTTTTATGTGGGTTCTGGGGATTGAATTCAGGTTCTCAAACTTGCTCATCAAACACTTTTACTTGCTGAGCCTTCTCACCAGCCCCTCTTTTTTCAAAATATATACTTTAAAAATATATTTTGAAGATATATTAAATCTATGTATAGACCATATGCAAATAAGTTTATATGAACCATATGCTTTTTATTGTGTACATTCTGCAATTACTTCATTTTAAATTTCCACTCACGATT